CCAGATTTCAAATTGGTTTTCTGTTTATGTTGCTTTCTGCTTCTGAGTGCCTTCATTGTGTTTCCAGGAATAAATGAGTGACAACTAATTACAGTCTTCTGATCACATGAAGGAAAACAAAGAAAGTAGAAAGTAACTAAAAAGCTAAAAAAACCTGGCAGCATCACAAGTTCTGCTTCTCTCTAAATGACAAACAGCACTTCCCTACTGTGTTAGTAAAAATCTATAGATCATCTTACAGACAAAAGAAAATAAATTCCTTGCATATGCAATATCTTTTGGCAAAACTGAACTGAAAACTGCTTATCAGACCAGCTGGATGGAGGACATTTACACAACCTTCTATCGGGCTTCAGCAGACCAAAATATTTTTCAGCAACAGCAGCCAAATGAGTACACTATGCTTCAAGGAAAAACAATGATACATTGAGTGAGAAAAACTAATGCAGCCATCAGCATCGCCTTCTCGTTTGGCTAAGGACGCACAGAGAGGGACTAACAAACACCATATGCGTTACCTGACCAGGAGCTGTGCCCTATAGCTGAACTGCAGGCAATAAACACGAGTTTGCAAGTGCAGGCATTCATCAGATAAAGACAAGATGTCCCTCTCTAGGAGTTTCTTCACCATTTGTACAGTTACACCTGAAGGAAGGGTACTGCAGGCCAGCTCCCCATGCTACAGACTGCTGGGAGAGCATCACTCTGTGAGCACAGCCTGGGTGCAGGGACTGTGCTGCACCAACACTACTTAGCAATGATCACAGGTTAGGAGAAAACAATCCTGAAGCAGCTAATAACCAGGCAGCTTTATTGCTAACAGTAGCAACACCTGAGTGTAAGGATGGACAACTACCTCACACTCTCCCATTTTTCAGCTGTGCTGTTGTCACACACCATGCAAATTTCAGCTGCCAAACCCAGCTGCAAACACAAAAGAGGAGCTACTTAAATTGTCATTTCTCCAGCAGACTAAAGAAATCAGACTTTTCCCAAGCAGTGCAACAAAAAGAGCTGGATTTATCAGGGAGCTCCAGTTCCCTGCCCATCATGCCTCGAACAGCTGTAGTGAGTGAGCTGGTTTCTGACCGACAGCCAAGACGTGTAATCTGAATCACACCATCCCACTGCTTATTCAGTGCCGATAGCTGATGCTAGCCTCATCTCACTCGCTGGCTCGCTTTTTTTTAACGTTTTGACACTAGTCCTGAAAAGGAAGGATTTAAAGTTAAACCCTTTTCAATAACGAAAATGTGTTTTTGCAATTAAAGCCACACAATTAGCATTGACAAGCTCAGGTCAGCAGAACATAGATTATGCCGTTCAAATGCTCTGCCACTCAGTGCCTCCAGCAAAAAGCTGCAGGAGAGGAGAAGAAGGGGGGAAAAAAAAATCTCCACACATTATTTAACAACTTGTGCTCCCATGCACTGCACCACTTGTGGATTTGTGGAGGGAGGTTCACTTATTTATTTACTTAAAATCCCTTTGGCTCTAGCCTCCTTCTCCACTGGTTCTGTTCCTTCAAGACAACAACAACTATTCTTCAGGGCAAGAAAAGCTGGTAACATTTAGCAGAATTAACTTCTCAAAAAAAAATCTCGAACAAATTTTAAAAAGCTCAAAATCCTTGCCCTAAAAATGTTTCCTTTCATTATTTGCAAAAAAAAGTATTTGCTTAAGATCTCCCTCAATCAGCCACTCTCACTGCCCAAACACAGAAATCACAGATTTCTCTATCCGTGCAATAACATAGTGATTAATTTTAATTGAATACAGCTGGTTTTAAAGGTATAAACAGTGTGTGTGTCCACGTATAGATCACAAAATCAGAAAGCTAAGTATAGAAGCTAAAAGAATTTCTCTCGATAATTTTTACTCAGCTGTACTTAGTTCTGTTTTCTCAGAAATGTCTATTTCATTCATATAAACACTTGCACCTACAGATCTTTAATATTAATGTGATGACTCCCTTCTCTCTTTAGTCAGAAATATCTATATATTCTAAAAACAAAAGTGGCATCATAGCAAAACATAGGAAAACAAATCACTTTACCATCAGGATTGATGACTGTCACATAGTAAGTGCAATGCTAATTTTGAACTTGAGATCTTCATCCCACTTCGACATCATCTCTCAAAAAAATCTAGGTTTCATTGCCATAAATTATGAAAACTCTGACTAAAGCTTTCTGCTTGCATCTAAGTGCCACATACATGTTTACGGCATCATTTAATTGACAATAGTACTTTAAAATTTAGATGCACAATCTGATTCAAATATTCCTGGTCTGCATCACTCATGAGAGATAAGGGCTCTGACCTTAGAAATAATGTATGATTCAATGTGATAGAATCTCATATAAAGCTGAATTCAAGTGAGTATTTACATGTAAGTCTAAACCACCGTATTTACACAGATTTCCAGCTCAATGTGGGGTAAAAAGCCCTGGAAATCCCCAGGACAGCAATGGCATGTTCTGTTGCCCTGTGTCAAGCTTATTCCTTCTGCAGGACAAGAGGATTTCCATAAGAGACTGGGAATTCCCAGCATGGAATTCCAAATTCAGGAAAGTCATATGTCTTGCAAAATGCTAACATGGGGATTTTAAAAAACAAGCAAACAAACAAAAACAGACAGACAACAACAACAACAAAACCAACAATGGGGTGGGAGGAAGACAAGAAAGTTAAATATCTACCCTATGTCCCTTGTGCTTAGTAATATTTTCATTGCTTCAGGACAGAAAATCAACAATCCTCTTCTGCTTGCACAAACAACAAATATACTTACATATATTTACATGCACGTACACGGGCACAAATATTTTTTTTTTCCCTGACAAGGTATTTACAATTAAAAAAACAAGGTTTTCATTGAGCTTCAGCTGTGGAATTGTATCAAGCCAAGAATGTTCCTTTTAAAACCAGTTTAATTTGAATTGTGCTTCCTTATTAGTTTTTGTAATTTAAATGAAAAGCAGCACACAGCCTTCAGCACACTTTATTCTACAGGTGAGATTAAAAAAAAACAAAAAAAAAACCCCTGTGACCTGTAGTTTCAGTTGCACCAAGGAGAAATTTGTGTAGAATATATAATGAAAATGCAGATATATAGATCACATTTCTTACCGTGTCCCCAGGCTTGACAGAAACTGCCACCACTGCTCCAGGCATGGGAGATCTCAAAATGCTGGAGGTGTCCTCTGCTGCTTTTTCTGGCATGTACTTGCTCAGCTCTGCAGCAACCTTTGTCAGTATTTTTAATTTGTACTAAAAGAATAGGAAGAGGAATGTTTTAGAACACTGCATCTTGGTAAATTCCAGTCAACAATCTGCACTATTTTATGGCATGTTTTTATATAATACATCTGTTATCTATTCTTCACGGGAGTGTCTCAAAACCACTGTTTGAAATCTTTATTGAGAGTTTCATTTTCAGGATGTAGAAAGAAAAATATGCAACCCCAATCTGCAGCAATGAGCACATAAAAGGAAAGAATCAAGTACAGTAAAGAAATGTCAGATTCATTTAAAAATTGAGGGTAGAAAGAGGATACACCTATTTAAAAAACAAATATCCTTATGCTTACTGCACATTATCTTTAGTGGATATGGAATATTGAGGGATTCATTTCTAGTGCTGTGCTGAATTGGAAATTGACCCTTTTGGGAAGTCTGACAGATTTTCAATAACATGAATGATTTTAAACATTACATCTACTTTTTAAACATTTCTTTTTAACGTGTATTTAAAGTTTGAAGTTAATAACTTATTTAGATTTTGCAATTAGAACACATTAAACAATTTTACTTCCATTTTTCCATTCACAGGCAGAATGATGGAACATTTAGGAACGATATCATCCGAATATATTTTAGCTGTAATAAAAGCTGTCAGCAGCTGTTATCTACCTTGAGAAAAAAAGAATGTTTTCTCTAGCATGTTTTAAAGCAATTAGAAATGGAAAAGAATATGATGAATGTCAAGTATCCGATAGCATCCCTGTAAACAAAACCTTTCTGAAAACATTTAAGTGTGTACACCAATTTCAGCTCCAGCCTTTTAGTTTTTTATAAACTTGTGATCACTTTGACAGATAATTCACTGCTTTCAGACAGATGGCCTTCCCATTTGTCCCAGTGCACTTGAAAACCAAGACAAAAAGCCAGTAGATGGCAGCAGGTCTCTGCTGAAACGCCAGCCTCACCAAGGCCAACCCAGTGAAGACCAGCACCACACTTCATCAATAATTCAAACAAAGGTTTTAATAATAAGCATTAGATGAACTGCATTTACAATTCAAATGTGTATTTTGCTGATGGAAAGTTCAACACCTTGCTTGGAACAGTATGTTTTCCTCCAAAATAATTAGCTATTGTTTTATTAGCAATAAAACATCTTTACTTTTCATTTTTACACAGACAGAAAAAATCCGATATCCTTATGGTGAAGGTAAAGGGGGACTCTACCTTCTGCTTCTGTAGAGAGTAGAACAAGGGGTTTAGAAATATGTGCAAAAGGTGATGAACGCTGCAATGACATCTTTAAAAAGCAGCTTTCAAAGGCAAATTAAAAATATGTAACAGAGGAGTACGATCCTCCATAAGTGGCGTTTGGACACACAAGATTACGTGCAATGAACAGCGCAGCCGTTCAGTTAGCAACACTTGCTTCTCATCAGAAATACAAGCAAATGGTTAAACGAACCCATCCTCCACCACCCCCCCACCCCCCAGTAAATGTAATAAAATGCCACAATAATATCCCGCGGAGCTCTAAGCGGCACCCAAAGATTTGAGAACCCACTCCCAAACATGTGCCTTGGTTACAACTGCTATGGCACAGGGAAACCAGCACCATTTTGTATGCAAAAAGCTGCTTTAACTCCAAGCTTCCTGCGGGCATCATCATGACAAATAAGACTGTAGCACTCCACATTGTCCAACTCAAAATACAGCTAGTTCCCTCCCTGCACGAGCAACTACATTCAGTGCAGGCTGCTCCTGGCTGTTTCTTTTTCTAGAAGTAAAGGGTGTGCATGTGCACATAGGCGTGCATGTCTGCACACTTGCATGTCTGCTGTAGGGAGAGGGGAGGTGATGCCTATAAGAGATTTGATGACATAAGTTGCAAATAGAATTGCAGCGGTGTGACAAGTCAAATAATAACATCTTATGCATGTTTCTTTACTCTTGAGTGTCTGTTTTGCAATCAAGACATACAAGTGTCTGCCAGTTTCTGAAGGATATGATCCTTAAGTGAAATTACTGTGCAAATAAAAGCTTTTTACTCCTATTAAAATTCGTCTGAGTCATAAGTGGCAAGGAAAAAAAGCTTGCAGAGTGTATTCTGCTGTCAATCTAATAAACATTCTGTGCAGAGGGACTATTTATCAAAGATAAATTGTACTTAAAAGTCCTTCATTAAATCTATAGGGGGGAATATAATTACACCAAATTGCACAGTTTCAGTATCCATGGTTAGCATCTTCTTTGTACTCAAGAGTTTGAAAATGAAAGAAATAAAGAGAAGGAAAGAGAGGGAGAGAGAGGAAAAAATGAAAGAGAGGAAAAAGAAGACAAGAGAAAAAGGAGGAAAAGAAAATGGGGGGAGGAAGAGAGAGGGGGAAAGAAAACGAGAGAAAGCACAAGAGAGAGAGAGAAAGAAAGAAAGAGGAAAAGCACAGAAATAAGTTGTGGACTGTATTGTTGCCTCTTGCAAGAGGCTATTTTGATATGATTTCATGGGATTAGGTTTAGATGCCACTTTGGTTTTTAAGCCACATGTAATGCTTCCAAGCTGCCCAATTTCAAAATTTAAACTTGAAGTGAAAGCTAGACCTGCATTCATCCAGGTTGCAGTATTTCACAGGGACTCAAATACAGAATTTCCTATACACTCCACAACATACAGCAGTGGCGGGGAAAAAACATGTTCCTCTGTATGCTCCACTTTAAAGCTCAGTCCTCCACACCAAGTTAAAATATCCCTACCAAACATTGTTTTTACTATCTTTATAATTTTCATATCTTTTAGATTCCTTTCTCGGCAGGACTCCTGCTTTCCTTGGAGTGAGATGTAAGAGTCAGTACACTCAAAGCTTTAAAACGCAGGTCTTTGTTATTGATGAGCTGTTCCTTTTCCTTTTGTATTTGTTTATTGTTCTTTAGTCTGTTTGGGGGATAAGCAAGTTACTGTAATCAAAAAGTAAAAAATAACAACAGTAAACTTCTGGGGAAAGGCCTTTTTTGGCACAGTTAGTTCACAAATGACCTTTCAGAACAGAAAAAAGACAAAGCCGCAAAGAAAGATTTCTTCTTTAAGATTAGCTTTGATGTATTTCTGCTGCTGGCTGGACCCCACTAAATACCTGCATAAGTGTCCCTTTGTAAGGCTGTTTCTTATCTCTTGGGGATGAGTTGTGCAGAGGGGGTGCAGGGGGCTGTTCATCTAACCCAGGTGAAGCCACAAGGCTCTGGGGAAGACCATGCCAAACAACGCCTCCCAGTGCCGCTACGACAAAGGCAATTAAGAATATACCCCATTTCTTCATTACATGATTAACACCACTGTGTTAATTTTTCCTTTATCCTCACAAGGAGGAGATGGGAGAAAGAAAGGGCGTAAATTGGGGAAGGCTGTAAAGTTTGGGTTATAAATAGAGACCAGAAGGTTTCCACTGGCCTAAACCAGAAGAAACATCTGTTGGAGTCATAAATAGATTGTGGTTGGTCTCTCTGAGCAAGGAAATCTGCTAGCCATCAAATCTTTGCTGGTGAGTACTTGTCACCAGCCACTGCTCCACTCCACAGGGTTTCAGCGCCTAATTCTGCCAGCCAAAGCAAAGTTAATAAAGAGGTACCCAAAAGGAGCTGTACAGCTTTTGATGGCATAGAAAACAGGTGTTTCTTTTCCACAAGACTGTTGGAGTCCACAATCAGTTGACAAAAATTATAGTAGGGAAAAGTGATGTTACTTAATAGTTTTCTAAGGGTAACAGTATCCTGCCCGATCTCTCCCGCTAAATAAATTGGATATTTATGTAATGCAAAACTACCTCTTACAACCAAATCTCTTGAGACAAAAAAGAAGAAAACAAAAAGGTGTAATAGTAGCAGTGCAGAGGAGTAAGGAGGGAAAAAGAAAGTAAATACAGTGAAAATTATACCTGGGGGTTTGTGGAGGTTTTTTGTAGATACATACTGTATTGATCCCCCACATCAGTAGACAAGAAGTAGACCGGCTGCTACAAAAAGCATGACCAGGGCACATCTGACCTAATCTTTGCTTAAAAACAAGTTCTGTAGTTTGCATAGATGTGACTCCCTTGCTGTGTGCAACAAAATATTGCAAACCTTCAGTGAAACACTCAAAACTGCATTCTCTTGCATCTCACATTAGCTTATTAAATATTACCTTCCCAGTACACCTGAAACTCATGTCCCCAGAAGCTGTAAATGTTCAAACTCCATTGGAGATTTTATAGAGCAATCCAATATATCACCACCCATGTGTTACTTCTGGTAGTGTCTGGACTGCTGAGCAGATGTGGAGTTTCTGTATGCTTTACCTAAATATTCAACCATGTTTTTCAAACGTCTGTCATGGTCAGAAGGATGAGAAACCTTACATAGCTCAGATTTCAGTAGAGAAACTGTCTGCCATGCATCTTCATTATTTTCACTAAGCTTAGTTAGATTCATTTTTGGAATCAGTGAAATTTATTAACTGTGGTCACATAATTTCCCCTTAACACTTCTAATGTGCACCCTGCCTCAAGTCACTTAACTGTTGTCACCTGCGGTTTGACTGTCGTGGATTCACAAGTAGTATGTTACTCAGTACTCATTCAAAGCAATACTAAGCAACGTTCCAGTCCTGAACACAATGAGCCTACTGCCTTTTTTATTAATCATTATACATTTTAACAGCGTGACCATAGCCTTGCTTAGATTTCCGCCACGGCATCTAAACAGGAAAATGATTTATTTATTCCATAGTACTTGAAGGTGTCAGGTACCACCCTTCTTTCTGAATCAAGGAAATTTTTTTCCTCAACAAGGAGATAAATGACATTTTGCAAATCACAGAGGCTTTTTTCCAAGCTCTGAGTTTTAGAGCTGATTTACTTCCACAGGGGGGTGGTGAGGACTGGCATTAACACCTGCACAAAAGGAGCAAACACTCAACATGCTATGGAGACAGTTGGGGTAGGGGGGGGGGACAGATGGGGACGACAAATAAACAAAAAACCGCACCACAA